ATATCTATATCTATATACATACATATATATGTGTATATCTATATCTATATACATACATATATATGTGTATATCTATATCTATATACATACATATATATGTGTATATCTATATCTATATACATACATATATATGTGTATATCTATATCTATATACATACATATATATGTGTATATCTATATCTATATACATACATATATATGTGTATATCTATATCTATATACATACATATATATGTGTATATCTATATCTATATACATACATATATATGTGTATATCTATATCTATATACATACATATATATGTGTATATCTATATCTATATACATACATATATATGTGTATATCTATATCTATATACATACATATATATGTGTATATCTATATCTATATACATACATATATATGTGTATATCTATATCTATATACATACATATATATGTGTATATCTATATCTATATACATACATATATATGTGTATATCTATATCTATATACATACATATATATGTGTATATCTATATCTATATACATACATATATATGTGTATATCTATATCTATATACATACATATATATGTGTATATCTATATCTATATACATACATATATATGTGTATATCTATATCTATATACATACATATATATGTGTATATCTATATCTATATACATACATATATATGTGTATATCTATATCTATATACATACATATATATGTGTATATCTATATCTATATACATACATATATATGTGTATATCTATATCTATATACATACATATATATGTGTATATCTATATCTATATACATACATATATATGTGTATATCTATATCTATATACATACATATATATGTGTATATCTATATCTATATACATACATATATATGTGTATATCTATATCTATATACATACATATATATGTGTATATCTATATCTATATACATACATATATATGTGTATATCTATATCTATATACATACATATATATGTGTATATCTATATCTATATACATACATATATATGTGTATATCTATATCTATATACATACATATATATGTGTATATCTATATCTATATACATACATATATATGTGTATATCTATATCTATATACATACATATATATGTGTATATCTATATCTATATACATACATATATATGTGTATATCTATATCTATATACATACATATATATGTGTATATCTATATCTATATACATACATATATATGTGTATATCTATATCTATATACATACATATATATGTGTATATCTATATCTATATACATACATATATATGTGTATATCTATATCTATATACATACATATATATGTGTATATCTATATCTATATACATACATATATATGTGTATATCTATATCTATATACATACATATATATGTGTATATCTATATCTATATACATACATATATATGTGTATATCTATATCTATATACATACATATATATGTGTATATCTATATCTATATACATACATATATATGTGTATATCTATATCTATATACATACATATATATGTGTATATCTATATCTATATACATACATATATATGTGTATATCTATATCTATATACATACATATATATGTGTATATCTATATCTATATACATACATATATATGTGTATATCTATATCTATATACATACATATATATGTGTATATCTATATCTATATACATACATATATATGTGTATATCTATATCTATATACATACATATATATGTGTATATCTATATCTATATACATACATATATATGTGTATATCTATATCTATATACATACATATATATGTGTATATCTATATCTATATACATACATATATATGTGTATATCTATATCTATATACATACATATATATGTGTATATCTATATCTATATACATACATATATATGTGTATATCTATATCTATATACATACATATATATGTGTATATCTATATCTATATACATACATATATATGTGTATATCTATATCTATATACATACATATATATGTGTATATCTATATCTATATACATACATATATATGTGTATATCTATATCTATATACATACATATATATGTGTATATCTATATCTATATACATACATATATATGTGTATATCTATATCTATATACATACATATATATGTGTATATCTATATCTATATACATACATATATATGTGTATATCTATATCTATATACATACATATATATGTGTATATCTATATCTATATACATACATATATATGTGTATATCTATATCTATATACATACATATATATGTGTATATCTATATCTATATACATACATATATATGTGTATATCTATATCTATATACATACATATATATGTGTATATCTATATCTATATACATACATATATATGTGTATATCTATATCTATATACATACATATATATGTGTATATCTATATCTATATACATACATATATATGTGTATATCTATATCTATATACATACATATATATGTGTATATCTATATCTATATACATACATATATATGTGTATATCTATATCTATATACATACATATATATGTGTATATCTATATCTATATACATACATATATATGTGTATATCTATATCTATATACATACATATATATGTGTATATCTATATCTATATACATACATATATATGTGTATATCTATATCTATATACATACATATATATGTGTATATCTATATCTATATACATACATATATATGTGTATATCTATATCTATATACATACATATATATGTGTATATCTATATCTATATACATACATATATATGTGTATATCTATATCTATATACATACATATATATGTGTATATCTATATCTATATACATACATATATATGTGTATATCTATATCTATATACATACATATATATGTGTATATCTATATCTATATACATACATATATATGTGTATATCTATATCTATATACATACATATATATGTGTATATCTATATCTATATACATACATATATATGTGTATATCTATATCTATATACATACATATATATGTGTATATCTATATCTATATACATACATATATATGTGTATATCTATATCTATATACATACATATATATGTGTATATCTATATCTATATACATACATATATATGTGTATATCTATATCTATATACATACATATATATGTGTTATATATATATATACATACATATATATATATATGTTGCATACCGACAAGTTTTGTCTCTGTTGCAATCTAGTAAACTCCGGTGAAAGGTTGCAACCACTAACCGGTGTGACACCAGCAATGATATGTGTGACCAGTCAGCACTGAAGCTTCCAATTACGTCATATGTGACAAACTACTGTTGCAACTTCTATGACTTCTGTTATCAATTGAAGCTACTGCAGCTACCAAACATAAACTATGTCATCAACTATTGCTTATATGGCTAATTGCTACTACACGTACCAACTACGACCTATGTGACCAACTACCACCTATTTGGTTAACTGCTACTGCAGCTTCCGACTATGACCTCTGTGTCAAACTAACACTATTGCAATAACCGACTATGAACTATGTGGCTAACTGCTACAACAGCTTCCAATTATGACCCTTCTGACAAATTGACACTACTACAGTTGCCAACTATGGTTTATGAGACAACTATGACTTATATGGTTAACTTCTACTGCAATTATCAACTAGGACCATTGTGACCAACTATAATTTATATGGCTAACTACTTTTACAGCTTACGAATACAATTTTTATGGCCAACTAACGTTGATAATATAACTAACTACGACCTATGTGAGCAACTAAGGCCTATGTGGCTAACGTTTGCTGTAGCTTCTAACTACAGCCTCTATGGCCAACCAACACTACTATGGCTACCAACTACGGCCTTTCTGACAAACCAACACTATTGCAGCTATCAACTGCTGCATTTGTGATCAACTATGTCATCTATGACTAACTATTACTACAACTATGAACTACGACCTATTTGACTATGACATATGTGGTTAACTGTTATTATAGCTTCAAACTACGGCCTCTGTGGTCAACTAAAACTATTGTGATAACCAATTATGACCTATATGACTAACTGCTATTGTAACTTCCAACTATAGCATTTGTGATCAACTAACTCTACTGCAAGTACCAACTATGGCCGTGTGCCAAACTACGACCCATGTAGCTAACTGCTACTGTAGCTTCCAACTATAACCTATGTAGCTAATTATTACTACAACTTCCAAGTATGACCTTTGTGGTCAACTGATGCTATTGCAACCCACGACATATATAACCAGCTCCAGCATATGTGGCCAACTATTATTATAGATTCCAACTACGACTTCTGTGGCTAACTAATGTTATTGCAGCTACCAACCACGACCCATATAACAAACGATGACCCATGTAGCTAAATGTCATTAGAGCTTTTAATTACGATCGATGTGTCCAACTACTACATATGTTGCTAATTGATACTACATCTTCCAAATACAATTTTTGTGACCAACCAATGTAATTGCAACTATCAACCATGTCCTATGAGACAAACTACAAGCTATGTGGGCAACTGCTACTATAATTTCCAACTATGACCTACACAACAAACTGATGTTTTTTCAGTCGCAGATTACAATTATTATGACCTTTTGCGGCCGAATATCTCTATTATTGCTGAGAACATGCATTTGTTGTAGCCCAATTACAACTATTAAAATTGGATAACTACTGTAGATCTGTGATTATTAATATTGTAATTTCATCTGCTTTAATTTAAGAGAAGAGTGGACACCTATGTATTTACATACAATGAATTATTTTGACTATGCTAGACCTTGTGATTCTTTTCCTTTTCCAGGGTTTTTCCACCTAAAAATCTTGGCGTCTCTTTGCTTCTTTTCTATTATAATATGTGTGTTGGACCTTTGTACAATGTTGAGACGTTAAATTCTTACTCTATTGTCATGAATTTAGGCAACAAAACTATTGAAAGAAAAAAAACAAAGAAAAAGAAAATTACAAACCATTAAAAAATAAATACAAGACCCAATATTAAACCTACTGCTCATCATCTCCAGCAACAGCAGCCTCTAATACAGTCACATCAGTCTACATTCAAAAAAATATACACAAGTGCATTGAATCCAACAGATCAGATATCTATAACTTCGTTCGTCTTATACCCCTTTCAGCTGCAACACTCTCAAAGAATCAAAGCTCTAAAGAACATAAAATTTCTACTCCTCATTTTTTATCTCCATCCGAAGAACCATCAACAGCAGTTCCATCACCATAGAACTTACATAGAGAAGCAAACATGAGGAAGCTCAAAGAGGCCAGCAAAGCAAGAAGCCAGTAGTAATTATAAAGCTTAGCTTCCCTCATATTATCTGAGAACCAACTCGAATCCTTCCCAGAACTAGCAGTGAAGATTTCCACCATTGATATCAGAAAAGCACTCACAAAGCTTCCCAGACCAAACACACTGAGATAGAGCCCAAACCCCACTGTTCTCATCTTCTTCGGCACCTGACTGTAGAAGAATTCCTGCATCCCAACCACTGTAAACACATCAGAGACTCCCAACAGAATGTACTGAGGCAGCAGCCAAAAGATGCTCAGCTGCTTCTTTAATGAATCTGGTTCTTCAAGCATCCCTCCTCTGTTCGAAATTTCAAGCCTTTTCATCTCAACCAAAGCTGCCACCACCATGGCGACAATAGATAGAAGCATGCCGATTCCAATCCTCTGAAGCACAGTAATGCCTTTATCATCTCGTGTTATCAAGCGAGATAAGGGGATTATGAGCTTATCGTATAGAGGCATCAGCATTACGATTGAGATAGTTATTGCGCTCTGAAGCATTGCAGGAGGGATTACGATTCTGTTGCCGATGTTGTGTTTCATGACGATGCCTTGATTAGTGAAGAATGTGGCTGGTTGCTGAAATATGACTGCGAACATGAGCAGCACTATCCATATAGGCAATAGCTTTAGAATCACTTTTGCAATGTTTGGAGATATTTCGACTTCTGGAACAAATGGATCTGAAGTTTCATGGAAGTCAACTCGAAGTGATTTCTGCTGCATTCTACAGGGAGATCGAGAGTGAGAGAGAATACATCTAACATGAGATTATGAAAAGGTCAAATTATGTGTATGTCAGAATCTACACATGTTGATTGGTGGTATTATGGTTAATATCATCATAATACCACTAAATCCGCACTTATCCACATCTATCTGTCCGCACAAAATATTTCATCATATGTTTGTGAAGTTGATCTCTTCCTTTCATTGAAAATTCTTAATCTCCAATTCAATTGGCTTGTTTGGAGTAGTTGCAATTTTTTTTTAAAAGTGGTTGCCAAGATTATTGAGTATGGTGAAAGCAATCGTTTTAAGAACAATTGTGTATTATACCTATTTTTTTTTCAAAAAGTCAGACAAGCTTGCTTACAAGACTGTTTTGTAACAGTTTTAACAAATTATGTAAATCTAGATTTGTTAAATCCTAACAGTATCAACATTTAGTAAATCCAGGATTTAAGACAGATCTGACAAGAGATTGAAAAAAAAGTATTGAAACAAACCTTTAAAAATTATCATTTTTCTGACCCACAAGAATTAAGTTAAATCCAACTTAAAGACAGCCCGTTAATAGCTATGATTACATAAAAAACATTTTTTACTACAAAAAAAATTTGGAATTAGTAAGAAGGGAATATTCAAATGGAGTTGTAGAGATGATGTGGAAAGCAAACATAAAGAAAGCTATCCAAATGGACCCTAGGGGCTTTACTTGCTTGGACTCTTGGAATATTTATATTATACAAGTGTCATCTCAATGTGATGGTATTGAGTTATGGTATCAAATCATAGATGCGAGAAATATTATCTAGGCTGAATGTTGATCCCTTTTTTTCTGCATTCCCCAACTATTTTTCTTATGATTTGACTTCTGATTTTTCCTTACAAAACATAGATTGAACCCTTAAACTGAATGAGTCACTGAATAGGCAAAAAGAAAAGCACTAGCACCCACTATAGCAGAAATTTTAAGCTAATAGATGAAAAGTAACAACTTTCTTAAATCATTTGAAGTAATTGAAGAACCAAAAGCAGGACAACTTACTCAAGCTCCACAAACTCATCATTTTGTGAAGGCAAAGAGATCTTTGGAGAAACAAACTTTGAAATAGACCCCATTGCTGCTCTGACAACGCCATAGAGCCATTTTTTCCTAACTTTAGTCTCTCTTTGGACATAGAAACGAGAGCCACACAAGAAGAAAGTAACAGATAAAGCCATGGCTGCCGCAGGGATCGAAAAGCCAAGCCCCCAGCCAAAGTTATCCTGTATATAAGACATGGTTGAATTCCCTAAGAGGCTCCCTGTGCAGATACCGAAGTACCACCATTGAAAAAAAGAGCTCTTTTTGTTGGCTTTCTCCTCTTCTTTGCAATCTTCCTCAAGCTCCAGCTGGTCTGCACCAAAAGCTTGTAAGGATGGGTTGTACCCACTTTGGCCTATGGAGATCAAGTAGAGTGGAAGAAAAAGCGTATAGATTGGCATCCATGTATCTAGTAGTGCCCATGATGTTAATCCCACAAGTCCCTTAGAAAAAAGAGAAGAAGAGGAAAAATTGGTAAGTATGAAGGTGGGGATGTAAAGAGACCGCACTAGTTAGGTTCACTTTAGGGGCGGCCTTGTAACAGTGATTCTTAAACTTTTAAGGAAAAAAAAAATCTATTCAAAATTAGAAACATACATTATACTCATTTAATTATATAAACAGGGATCCCTTTTTTTAAAAAAAATATATATATATTACTAATCTAACAAATAAATTCTATATTCAGGAGTTCTTTTCTGAATCTTAGAAGTGCATGCGGAGTGTAGAGCAAAATCACGACTTTGTTAGTGCTAGTCATTGAAATCCGCAGTAATCTTCAAATTTTGATTAGCTTCAGGTGCGATATGTCTCAATTTGGTCTATCTTTCTTGATCTAATCACTCTATTTACCTCTTGATTTAAATGTGAGTCTATGTGCTTTTTATTTCAAAATGTACAAACTTATATCGAGTCTTTCCCTCATAACATAAATTTTTTTTCCATAAAATCATATCAAACTTGACCCCCCCCACCCCACCAATTCTTCTCTAAATCATTTCTTACCCAAGTCATAGCAATAAAACCATTCAGCTCAAACAAATACTTCATAGCAAAAGTATCATCTTTCCTCAAAACTACATAAAAAAAAAATATATATATATATAAATTTGTGTGCAAAGCTCACCATAATGTAAAGCAGGGAAGAGGAAGTGATAGTGGAATATCTATCCCAGTACGCATCAACAAGCATGGAACTAACAAGCGGAAGCATCGACGTCACTCCATTCCAGCCGCTGACGGTCTTTGCAGCCTCCGAAGCGCTCATCTTCACATTGCCGCCCGTCAGGTATGTCACCAGGTTCGATGAAACCCCCTTATAAGCAAACCTCTCCACGCTCGCAACCACTGCTCAAACTTCATCAATTCATTTCAAACATAATAAAAGAAAAGGATTAAAGATTGATTAACATATGATTGAGGAGCTCTCACCAATGACAAGAATACAAGGCTTGCTGAGCCCCCGTGAAGCCATTCTTCTTTCTTTCTCCTCCTCCTCCATCAAAGGCGGCTCCTTTCTTCCCTAAATATGAAGTTTTGGTGGGCTTCTGCTTGCTGAGTGGGATTGCCACCAGTACTTTTGTGTTGTTGGAAGGCAATGAGAAAGGAAAAGAAGTGTTTTTGTAGGACTCCTTTTTCTATTTGTTTGGAGCTTTTCAATAGTGGTGCGGAAAGGCTAAAGAGTACAACTAAGAAGATAGGACGCAATATTTCCTCCTTCCAGAGAGGAATGCTCCGCATATTTATAGTAATAATTTATAGTATTTATCATTGTAATAAATACTATTTATTTAGAATCTTTTCATTAATTATATCTTTTGTGAGGCTCTTCTCATTTTTATATAGAATAAATATAATATTTTATTCAATATAATGTGCGTGAGATATAATTCCTTAAAATGTTAACATAATTAAATTTATGTTAGATTAGTAATATATATATATATATATATATATATATATATATATAGAGAGAGAGGGAGAGAGAGAGAGAGAGAGAGAGAGAGAG